GTAGTTCATATATGATTAGATAATTAATCCATGATAATTCTATGATTTCTTTTGTGTGATGTAAATTTAATGGTCAACATAAGTTCATACAGGGAAAGAGTATCTCAATACTCACAAATTGATGAAAAAAATAAAAGTTAATAATGTAGTACCCTCATTTCTTATTGGATTCCTAAAAAACAACATTTATAATGAATTTTAATAATTTTTTCGGATTTTTTTGAAGCTTTAATCCTACCGATCCTGATCGCTGATTCGTCGATCCGGATTGTTTTTGAGGTGCCCGATCCGGGTCACCGATCCGCTTTTTAAACCATTGCTCTTAACCAAATGATTTGATAATGCTACCAAAGCTTCCTCCTTGGCATGCAGAAAGAAAACAATCTTATTTTCCCCCAGAAGTTTTACCTCTGGTGCATATGATAACCCCCGTCCTCTTTTAGCTCAATCACTCAAGCCAAATATATCATTCGAAGGGGGGAGAAAGAGCCTGGAACTAGAAAATCCGCACCCGAAAGCAAGCCTCCTGATAAATCAAACCTCACCGAAACCACTGGTGCATCAAACCCATCATCCTCACAAGCTTCCTTCCCCTACTTCCCTGTCATCTCCCCCCTCGAGTGTTCATTTCTATCTAGGGTTTCATGACCCCTTTGCTCCAAACACCAATATCTTTTTTATTTTTAGGACAATTTATAAAATGGAAAGTATAGAATGAGACCATTTACCTTTAATACAAGGTGGTCATAAAAATCTTGACCATTGGATGTGAAGTTGAGTGGTTGTCATTATTAAATTGACCAAGCTCAAACTTCAAAAAAAAATTTCTCGAATTTCGTGACACATTCAAACAATCAAATTTCATATCAAATGGTTGTAAAGAATTGTGACTACCTTATATCAGAGGCAAATGGTCTCATTGTATATAATCCTTTAATAAAAATACATCTAATATTTGAACTATTTAACATTTTACTTTAGGTAGATTTTGACAAATTTCAAATCCCATTTTGATGTGTCATTTGATGGGCTATTTGAAATTTGATCAAAGCAATGATAGGCAATTTGAAATTAGATAAAAACAAAGTATGGTGTGTTTAATAGTTAAAATCATAGGTGCAATGTAATAAATTTCTTTCTCCTCCAAAGGGAAAGACACGTGTGGAGCATGTATATCTATTCTCGTGGGATCACATTATGGCTTACTCCCTTAGAGAAAAGAGCTACCTAAAAGGATTTTTTTACTTTAAATTTTGGGATCCATTATGGAATCTCTAGATGA